CTAAGGTTCATCTGCCGGGGCCAAGCAAGCTTGGACAATGGCAGTGATCACTCTCCTAAACCTCATAATGCTTAACATAGCATTCGTTCCACTATGTTACCTACTTTGATCTTTGAGCCAGTCTGCTGGTATTTCCTGGAGCAATCTTACTTCTGTACTTTGCTAGCAGTTTTCCTTGCCATCGTGTATTCACTCCTTTAGTTTAATCCAATTTGTATGATGAAAGTTGATTTCTTTTTCTTCTTTCTATTTGATACAATATAAAAGGCACTGTGAGAAAGACACAGAAGTAGTATTTGGTCACTTCTTATTCCTGGGCAGCTCTGGCCATAGCTGTCAGGTTGATAAGGATCTAAGTCTGAAGCTTACATAAATAACATACTGAATGAACATTAAACTTTGGCAGAATTTAGCTCTCAGACTCTTAGTGTCTTCTGACTAAATGTGGTCCAAATATATAAACTTGGCCAAAGTTAAGTTTGAGACTTTCTGCTAAAAAGGATGTCAAAGAACCTGGTGTTGTCTGTTGCACTGCAACCCTGTTTTCAAATTCTTGCTCTGAAGAGTGGAAGAAATTAAATTTCTTTTTACTAAACAGTAAATTAGATTCTTTTTAATACAGAGAAATCAACATTTTTCTCAGAAATACCAGTATTACTATTGCTTTTGGCTTCCCTTCAAAAATTCTGTAAGGCATGAAACTCACTTTGAATGGAACTTAAATTAAAAACAAGTATTTGTCCTATAATAAATAACGTCAGGAAATACTGAGTGTAGACAGTGATAGTTACTCTGTAATTTGAAGTATTAAAATTTGTACATATGTTTTCTGAAATATTCATCTCAGTACTTTTGGTCAAGTTACCTGATCATATTTTAAATATGTAGAAAATATTCCAAAATAGTAATTTTTTAGTTTACTAGAATTTTCTTAAATTTACTATGCCACTTTCTCTGAGGAGTATTTCTAAAGCAGTATCACAATGCCTGCTGTTTTCTAAAATTATTGTCAAAATAGTAATTATTTCAGCCGGCTTAAGTATATATGCTTTTTGCATACAATTTTTTTCCAAAAATAGTTGTATGTTCAGGTGAATTGAATTGGTAAATGAAATCTACAATGTTTTGGTCATTTTCTTCTTTAATTTGTATTTCCATTGCTGCAGATGTTTCTGATAATCTTATTTTGCAGACAGCAATTCTCAGGAATGCTAGAGAATAAGCTATAATTTATGGTCCTAATATCTAGGTGTGTTTATCATGTCTTCATAAAAATTCATTTTATTTCCATACGACTATCATTGTTAACTTTCTTTTGCAAGGTGCCTGCAGAGAGTTTTTGTAGTTCAGTTTTCTTCTTTTCATATTTAAACATATTCAAAATGGCTTAATTTATACTTCAAATGGCTTCTCTGTTTCATTATTACCTCTCTGTTCTTATAGCTGGAGGTACAAGTACACCAGGATTACATTATTAAAATATAAGAAAATGTAATCAGTATATTGTATTATGCAAACTTGTTTAGACTATTTACTTAAGATGAGAAAACATTTGCAAAAAAAACGAAATATACCAAATGCATTTTGGTGGGGTTTTTTTGACAGGAAACTTTTTGTCATACAAACATCAGTGACAATCATAAAAAAAAATCTTCCTTCTTAGTATAAAAACGTATACATTATCTTAGTGTATGTTGTTTTTTGATATTCTGAGATGATCTGTGACTGCAGTGGTTTCATAATAGTCCTTTGCTTCTACAGTATAACAGTTTTGATGGAAAACTACCTTGGAGATGCTATTATTCCAGCTTTATACACTATTTACTATCACACTTTTCCATTTAGTGAGATGAATAGCACCAGCTTCAGTTAAAAAAAAATCAGGTGTTTTAGGTTGCTGTAAATCTATTTATAACTATTTCAAGATTAGCTTCTTTTAAATAACCATATTCAGGATAGAGTTGTACCCATAGAAATCACTAGAGTTTATTGTCTGTACAGTTTGTAAAGGTGACATTTCACCTATTGTTCTTTAGTCTACAGAAACTATGCCAAAGACTCCTTCAATATGTATTGGAATTTACTTGTTTGCTTAGAACAAGCCAAATGCATTTTATCTGCTCCATTTTTGTCCTAGAGGATATTTTTATTTAGCAACCGTTATTTATTAAAAGTATTTAAAATTCTCAAGGAATTTTTAAAGTGATAGCCATCTGTCCCACTTCCCTGTTTTTCCCACACACACACTCCCCCCACCAATTTAAAAAAAATATCCCCAAGGCCTCTAGAAACGACACAAAATCTACTGAAGGGGAATTGTTGTCATATACAAAAGTCCGAGGTTCGCTCTTTTCCATAAGTTTAATTCAATTTCAAAATCTCTTTTGTGGAAAACATAACACGTGTACAGAATCATTGCTTAAGTTGATCTGAGATCTGCTTAAGAATGCCATAATGGAATAACACTTTCCCATGGATTTTATTCATTTTACACTCCAGTGATCTCTCATCACTTTAGCAATGATTTGTTTTTAAAAGACAAGTCTGGAGAATTTCTGTTGACCATCATCTGTTCTGTGGGTGTGACATAAGTAATTTTCCTGCTATGAAATACTTTTTTCCATAACCCATTCTATAACTACTTCTCCTGTTTCCTCTGTTGATCACTAAATAATATTGTTGAATTCTGTTTATCTTAGAGAGCACTCAGTACTCTACCTTCCTATGCCTAAGGACATTTCATTTTCCTTCAAGATCATTGGTAGCATTCTCATCATGACAGTTGAGGTTTACCTTCCTTTATATTTTATTTCTTTTGTTATTTTATAATTGCCTTTCCATACGTAAAGGCCGATTTCAAATTCACTACATGGGCGTACTGGGAGATGTCAGAAGTACAGTATATTTGAAGACAACCTCCTGCATGCTCAAAATATGACATAAAGGATTTGGGAAAAAGGTAACATAGCTTATGGTGAAATATTAGTGGAAACCCAGGGAGACAAATGATTTCCTGAAAAGTTTGGAGTCTTCACAGAGGACTAGGACAGAATTTTTAATAAGAAAGAAGTCAAAATATTTTTATGATGATTTAAAACAATGAGTGAAGAAATAAATGAGTAGGTAAATTGGAAATTAAAACACTTTGAGAAAAATTTGACATGTCAGATAAGATACTAAAAATACTCTTGAAGTGTATTTTGATAGTGGATGAATGAGTAAAAGTGAGGAAAGAGTTTTCCTCCCCACTGGATGTTACCTGTTTAGAGAAGCTGTGGAATATAATGCCAATGACAGGAACTAAAGTAAATCTGTTTATATTAGATAACATCTTACAACCTAGAAAAAAACATTCCACTGTGAGTAATGAGACACAAATTGATTATGAAACTATTTATTTTCCTGATTGGTCTGTTGGCTTTTCATGTGTTTTTGATATTTAAACATAAAGGTTAAAAGATTAAAGCTTTCTAGTGTTTCACTGAAGGAAAACTACACTGTGAATTGATGTGCTCCATTGGTCAGGTCTGGAGAATGCTTAAGTAAATCTAAGTTTATCTTAGAGATGACCTTTAATGCATTTATGCATTATGTCACAGTAACAGGGATTAAAGGAGTTCCTGAAACCAAAATTGAATTGCTTTGCTTATGAATTTCCAAGGTCAATGAATGCTTGATTTGTGTGCTTTTTAAATTTCAGTGTGTTTATAAAATATAGGCCTAAGTAATTGGTGATCTTTTGCTAGAAAATGTTGCTGTTTAGAACTTCTGACACACATTTCACATTCTGCACTTTCAAGTCACTAGGATTTTCAACCATTTGAAAATTGAGCACTGGGAATCTTTTACTAGATGGTCTCACAAATGCTATATTCATAAGTATTATCACTTATTTGGTAAGCAAACATTAATTAAAAAGGGATGGATCAAAACAGTTTGAGATTTCTGGATAATGAGTCATACAGTACTTTGAGATATATATATGTATATATTTATATATATATAAAAAGTACAGGGAGCAGTCAGACTAGTTTAGATCCTTGAAGGAATGCTTCAGACTTTACACGTTGTGTTTTACATGGTAGCAGATACACAGCTAAATCAGCAGGATTCAGGAGACCTGCCATGTTCAGGGCAGTAGACATTGAGTAATTGTGAAAGCTGTATTCATAATTTAAGGAACGAAAGCTGGTCACTGTTTGCTTTATGGAAAAAAATACCTCCTAGAACTGACATTTTCTGTTTCAGTTCTGTAATACTGGGAAACAGGGCTGTTGCGAGAGGCAGAAAACAGGAATCCATAACTTTGCTCTGCCATTGCTCTGCTGTGTAAAAATTAATTTCTTTTGCCTCAGTTTCCCCATTTGTAAAAGCAATCTTGATGTGTTCCCCACGCAGATATTTTGATGTGTGTGAATAAAATACTCTGTAATGATGCTGTGCATTTACAGGCATTAATCTACCTCTTCAAAATTTTTTTGTGTAAGGTTATATTTTCTGCCTACTTATTTTGTTTTTCTAAGTTAATGTTAATTTTATTTTTTTGTTTTGGTTTTTTTGTTTGACTCTGTTCTCCCCATAGCACCAGAAACAAAAATGATTGATGGTCCCTTCTTTATGCACATGATAAAGCAGAAATGTATTTTTATTTCCATGCAGTGCAAACTTTTTTTTTCATTCATGTTTTGTAACAGATCAGGGAATACAATGGACAAATGCAGGGAATTACCAGTGGGGGATTTGCATCCTTGACATTTGATGGAACTGTAGGAGCACCAGTAGTTCCTCGAACTTCTAGCAAAGTGTACACTTTCATGGATGAAGAACAGAAAACAATAGAAGAATTACGTGTTTGGGCAGCCAGTAATATTTCCATCTCTGGACCAGCAGCAAAATTGTCTAGTGTTCAGCCAATGCTGTTCTTTGATCTCACTTGCCAGCTGGTAGGAAAAGCAAAAGTGGATGGATCTTCTTTTCTTCTAAAGGTAGACTTATTTTTTTTTAATAATTTGTTAGATTTATGTATTGAGATGTTGTGATACATTTTTTGATAAAGCAGACATATTAATTTATACCCTGAGATTAGCTCACTTAGTTAGAGCACAGTGCTAATAACACTAAGGTTGTGGGTTTGATCCCTGTACGGGCCATTCATTCAAGATGATCCTTGTAGGATCCAACTCAGAATGTTCTGTGAAATTCTGTGAAATAATGTTATGTAGATAAATGTTTTGACTGTAAGCAAATTTGTGATCCTGGGCCATTTTATTTCTATGAAAACAAAACAGAAATCACAGTACTTTTTGAAGTTGTTCACCTGATTTGTTTTTGTTGGCATTGTCTGGGTCATCATTTCACATTTGTAGATAAATATTGCACGATTTCTTAACCTTGAAAAATGTTTGTTTTAAACTTCATTCTTGTTTTTTACTTAGCATTTACTGCTTGTTTTTCTAGATCTGTTGGGCATGATTAGTGCAGTAAGTAGCACTATCTAAAAAAGAATCAATGTATTAGGTTATCTGTCATGATGGATTCTAGGTAGTTTCTCTTAGTTATACATAACCACTTTGGGCATCAGTGCTCACGGAAAATACAAAATGCCAAGTGCCACACAACAGTATAGTAATATCCAAGGGTGATCTTTAATATTAACTAAATAAAAGGGAGGTCTCCATAATATTCCTGGGTTCAGCTCCAGATGTATCAGTCTGAAGTTATTCTGAAACTCCTCTGCTTTTATTTTTCTTTATTTTTTAAGTTGAGTGTTAAAATGTGAGTGATGATCAAGCTGTTTTTTTCCACTTTATGACTTCATAAAATTATTTATTGGTTCTACTGTGTTAAACTGTATTGTTACAATGTTTTTAGAAATAGCACGTGGCATTATTCCTTCATTAAGGCAGCAAAGATTTTTCTAATACAGAACAATGCATGCACTACACAGAAACAAACCTTAAGTGTGTGCTATAACATGCTCTGCAACTGTTACAAACATTTCCATTTAATTATCCCTTGTGAAAGACATGTCAAATGAGACCCAGTAAAATTTCAGAACTTTGTAGTCTGTAATTAAGTTGTTAATTGATAAGTATATCTTCGGCATTGAAGGACCCTTTGCAATGACAGAGACAAGTGCTTTCTTAAATTATTAATATTTCTCTACACGCTTTTCTGTGTTGGAAGATTCGAAGTCAGTTTTGTCACTTTTGTGTAGTAAAGGTAATGACTTAGGGAAATCTTAGGGTAGACTTAGGAAAGTAAAAGTTTGAAGTCAAATAATGATAGATGAATTTTTCTGATACATAATTCCTTTGACAGTATATATTTTTAGCATTATAAAATATTAAATACTTAAATCCATATTAAAATACAGCACACAAGCTTAAAAATGCTACATTAACATTGATATGCTGTTGGTAATTCCCTCCATTTCTCAACAATGGCAAAATCCATATCTTAATTCAAATATTGGCCATGATAGAAGATCAACCTTTCTAAAAACTTTTAGACAGATCTCTGATTATTTTGTTGATTTGTTAAACAAAAAAAACAACCAAGTCAATGCCAGCTCATGCATTTTATAATAATGATTTATCATGTTATTCCAAGTACATCAGTTATAGTAGTGGCTGTTTATAGTATGAAATATCATGATTATTTTAAGCATTGAGCCCAGGTAATGAGTGGGGATGGCTTCAAAGACAACTAAAATGAATTTCAGCATCATCTATAGCGTAACATTTAAATTACACTTGGTAAATTAATTGCTACATGCACAGCAGCTGAGGTGGATGTGGCATAAAGATAGTATCGCTGACTTGATTATTTATTACCATTTTCTGAGAATTTTCTTATTCAAACTGATGGAGACTAAAGAATTCACAATAGAAATTATACTGTCATTTATGCCTTTCATAAGAGTTTTACTGTTATTCTTTTCTTCCCTTCTGCCTGTCAGTTAAATTATGTACATTTAGTCATACAATGAGCATACTCTGCTGAAGAGAAAAACAGGTATCATTGTGTCTCTTTCATTTCAGTGTTTTGCCAACCATGGTGATCAAAGGTTATCATTAACTTAGCTCCAGGTTGTTCGTGACTAGTAAAAGAAAAATTTGTTGTTTCTCATCCAGAATTAATTTAACCAGTGTTGGGTTTTCAACCAGTGGTTTTTTTTGAAACCAGGTCAGTTTGAAACCAGGGTGTTTTCATCCATAATTTGAGTAAAGCAAAGCTGCCAAGCTCCTGAGGTAGAGAGCTTGATCTGTTTTCATATTTGTGCAAGAAAAAAAAAGAAACCAACCACTTCTGCAAAGATTTTTTTTTTCCTTGTAGAGAAAGCTTATATTGTTATAAATTCCTCCAAAAGGTGCTGGTACTGGCCCCATTAGTTCCTCTGGTGAAGGACATTTCAAAACTAAGTCACCATCCCTTTATCTGAAAAGGGAGCATACAGGTTATTCCAATCCATTTGTTGGATCCATCTCTCCAGTGTAGAATTAAATTACCAAAGTGTCCCAAGTAAAGCCAGTTGAAATAATAATGAAAAGCTCGACAAATTTAATGTTCTTTATTTTGCCAAAGTGACTAAATTCATAATAGATATGCACTAAATCTGTTTCTCAAGCTCAGTTCTGGAAAAGATTTGATAATTCAAGCAATAGGTAACCTCTCTTTCAAAGGCGGTTTCAAGTATTTCACGGTGCACAATCAGAAGATTATAGGCTTTTTTTAATGTGGCAGCATATACCATCTCATTATCTGGTCCCTCAGAATATGCTCTTACTTGGTGTATTAGGGAGAGTTTGTAGCATACTGAAGCTGAAAACCATAACACCATTGAAAGCTCAACAAAATTGATATTTATTACCAAGAGGTGGCCAACAAAACGAACAAACCCAAAAGAGAGGAAAGAGGAGAAAAATAAGCCCTCAGTACGACTTCCCCAGTCATCCAGCTGTTGCTTATAAAATTGTCTTACCAACTTAGAATGCCTATAATTACCCCATAGCAGAAGCTGCATCCTTAGAGAGTCAGTAAGTTCACAAATTGGCAGGCGTCCCTGCCAAAAGGCAACGTTGTCCTTGAGGTGAAGCTTGCTTCCCTCCAAAAAAGAGCTATCTGCCTTTATACAATTAACTGAGTGACCTCAACCTAGGCAGGTGTGGCCAGCACCGCCCAGCCAGAGGCCTACAGTCCCACCCCCTGTTATGCAAGTAATATCTCTTCTGCACACGCGTGGCTTTCCCTACGCCTGCGTACTGCACCTGGGGGGTCTTTCTTAACTGAGTTGGTGGGTTTACTTCATCCTCTTCCTCCTCAATCTCTCCTTCAAGCGACCTTGAAAGGTGATTAGCCAATCATAGAACACCAATTAAATATATTTATACAAGATTCTCCCTTTCAAGGACGAAGTTCCCATTTATCAGTGTTTGTTTCTCATTACTTGGCAGGGAAAGAACAAAACTTTTACAGGTGGCTGGGCCAAACACAGACCAAAAGTATCAGCGTAATTGAACCCTGATACATATGGCAATATTAATTTGATGTTATGGGTCATTTTCACTGTCAACAGTGAAATTCCCTTTTTTCTCTTGATTTTGGATGGGCATTCCAGCCATGAGTTACTCTCAGTGTATTTATACATAGCTTTGCTGATTCTTAGATCTTTTCCTGTGGGCCTGTTGATCCAAAGCAGTTAAGCATAAGGAGTAGAAACCCTTTAAAAATTGAGCTTTGGTATCTTTTTTTCTTGCTCTCTGCAGTACCTAACTTATGGGACAAAGTGCCTTAGTATCATAAACTCTGAAAATTAGCTTCTGTTGAACCTATATGCATGAAATTCTATGAAATACAGCATTTCAGAATAATGATCCAAACGATTCTAGATTTTCCTTTTACTATACCAGTATTTCAAACCATTATTCTTGTTGTCTTTGAGAAGAGTATATCTTCAGAAACTCAGGGAAGCATAGTTAACAGAATGATATTTTGTTTAAGTAGTAAGATTTTGGTTCCTGTTGGTAAACTTTTTCACAGTAACTTTGGTAGCTCAGAAATAATTCTATTGATATTTCAGTACTAGGAGTATATTAAAGGTTTAGCTTTAGGCACAAGATTTTTAGAACCTTTGTTAATAAGTGTATGTTAAGTACTGATGTTTTTCTAATATTTCTAATAATACTAGTAGTGTATCCTGATACAGGAGATCATCAGTAATTAAGTCAATATATACTGTGTAGTCAGTCTTCACCTACAGTAGCTGAAGTGGTTAAAAGGCCCCTATACCATGATCAAAATATTAAGTATAGACAGTGCTGCGTATGATGAATTCTAATGGTTGTAACTTCTGGATAAAAGTTGAGGCTTTGCTAGAGCTGATTTTTTTTTTTTAAATATTAACAATTCTAGGTCTTAGCACTTGATCATATTCTCAATAGAGGTTGTTTTATGCTCTGTAAGGAATAATAATTAAAAAAACCCCATAAGATCTAATTTAAGTATTTTAAGGACTTTCAGACTAAGACTAGAATTGGGATTTCTTATTGTTACTGATTTTTAATCAAACAAAAAATTTTAAAAAAAGTTATTTAAAATCTGAATCTAAAGTATTGTGAGCACATTGAAGTAGTTCATTTGCGTTGCAGGTATGGGATGGCACAAAATGTCCCTATCCAACATGGAGAGTACCTGTGGAAGCTAAAGACCTGGAAGGAGAAAAGGTTCTTCTTCATCAGCTGAGAAATCTAATGGTGGACATTCTAGTCTATGATAACCATGTACAACTGGCAAAATCACTTAAGGTAATGCACAGTGTGGTATTTCTGTCTCTCTTTTTGTGGCCTGTTTTCTGCTTAGAAGTCACTTCAGAGAATGTATTAATTCAATTCTGCTGTAATTACTTTCATGTTCCTCTTTATCTTTCACTGTATTTCCTGTACCTTTTATTTGAATGCAAAACTCCTTCAGCATATGTTAAACAGCCTCATTACCCGAAAATTACCATGAAAAAAATTCTTCCAATTAAGCCGTTCTTTTCAGACACTGTAATATAACATATAATCCTGTGAAAATAATGAACTCAGAAAATGTATTCTATGCTTTAGAATTATTTTTAAGTGATACAAAGTGGGGTTAAACTCATAGTCCTATTTAAAACTCTTAATTCTAATGTCAATAGAAGATTTTCTGTTCTATAAACTTCTGCAGTTTGCAGTGCAATCTTCATTTAGTGGATCAGTGATGTTGATTATGCTTAGATAGAGAAAACAACATAATTAAACATTTGATCTTCAGCAATACTGCCATCTTGCTTCTGAATACAGGAAATTAGCAAAGAATACATCTTTCATTTCATGCCTTGCCCTCTATACCCAAGATAATTTTTAAGAAAACATCAACTAGAAAATAAAGATAAGTGATAAACATTTGTTAGGCTGGGGCTATTGGCAGACATGAAATCAATTTGATAAATTAACATACATTCATAAGTAAATGACAGATAGCAAAATAAGTGTAAGGATTTGTGTAAGAATTCATAACAAAACTGACAGAAATATTTCATTACTTACAAGTTCTCTTCCAGAATTTTTCTCTTGCTAACTGGTGCAATCTATTGATAAATAATTGATGTTCCAGTGAAGCATTATGTTTTGAAAATAAAGGGGAAAATATTTTAATACTAAGAAAACATAATTTCTTGAGTAGTTGATAATACTTCTTTTATTACTCTCATCCTTTTATGTTCAGGAATTCCTATTGAATATGTGATACATGGGATGTCTTCATCAGCTCTCTCGTATTATTACTTCCTAGAAGTTTGCCCTTTCTTATTTCTAAAGCATTTGTACCTTTGCTGGATACTGCACTGTGTAGTAGAACCTCTAATTTCATAGGAAATTGTTAAAAAACCTCCTTTTTCCTTCTGAGAAATGCAAGCTGTTTTTCTCCTGGCTATGTCCAAAGTTGCAGTAGTTTCAGTCATGAAAGCTGTAGAAATTTAAAGTTAAATCATTTTCGAACACCACTTTTTAGTGGATTGTCTTAGTGAAGTTATCAAAGAAAAGGGGCTGATATGCTAACAATTAACTTCAGAAGTATTTATTAATTTCAGGTTGCAGCATGTAGAATTAATTTTATTTCACAGAATAAAATAAATATAATAAAATTTTGGGGGAACTGTCCCTAAAATGGAGGGGTTTTAAATACTAGTGGAAATCATGTCATATCATAAGAACGTAAAGTGAAATCTGTATAATATTTTATTTAGTTCAGGGTCTTGTTATGCAAAGATTTTTTTAAAAATTCATCTATGTACAAATATGGAACTGGAGAGTGCTTAGTGTATGCATGTGCACCTTCCCAAGTGTGATTATATGTTTTGCCAGTTTATGCTTGCAGAAACAGTAAAAGTATGCTAGTTTTTAGCCATGTGTTCTGCGTTTGACAGTAGTTTAGAATTGCTGTTTTTTATGTAAATTGTTATGGAGTTGTTAGGTTACATTCTCCCCTGTTGTTGTGTACTGTTTGCAGTGACAGTTGCAGCTCAAAAATGACATTTTATGTAGGTGCAATCCCTTTTACACCTTCTTGCTAACACGAAGGGCAGATTGAAAAAAACCCCTGAAATATTTTAAAATTGTATCTGTAGGCACATGTTCAGACAAGGAAGCTCTGAGTAAGCACTACACACAAGAGAAAGTGGGTAATGTACTACAGTGAATTTTTGGCAAATACTGGAGTACAGAATAAGGGATATTGCTGCAAGAGTTTGTTAAAAACTCCTTGTTTAGGTCGTCTGTCCAGAGAACACTGAAGATTTGAGCATTTTATCCCATTTTCCGAGCCAGTCTAATAATACTTACAATTTTCAATGGAGAGAACTTTACTAACATTGAAGATATGTTGCTGTTGATACTGTAAGTAGACTTTTTGTTCGCTGTATTTACTGGCCTCCCTTTCCTACTGGGTAAGATTGTGGCTTTTCAGCATTTGGTGCTTTGACAGAACACAAAAAGAATTTTCAGAAATCTCATCTCTGAAGTAAATTATTTCCTGGGGCATAAAGACACAAGCAAGAACTACAACTAAGCAGAGAAAATGGTGTTCACTGCTTTTGCTTGAAATTGCCTCTTCCTCTGGCTACCTGGGGTGTGTGAGGCTTTCTCATTACTCTAGGAACCCCAACCTACAACTAACTGTCTGGAATACAGTTGCTCCACATAGGTTGCAGTTTCTTATTCTTCAGCCTTTCTTATGCCAGTTTTTCCAGAAGTTCTCAGGATTCACTTACACTGCCATAGGATTTGGGAATAGGTCTGTGATGTGAGTTTCTCCATCTTAAGCATTTTGCTTAGATCGTAAGCATCGAGGTGAGTGAGCATCAGTGGTCAGTCAATGAACAGTAGGGGTACAGCTGTCCTCAGCTGGTTAGAGATTTCCTTATGTTCTGTCATTCATTGAATATGTGGTACTGTGCCTTCCTCTTATGGCTTGATAACCATCAAGTTTGTGTTGCCATGCATTTTCTGTATAGTACAATTAAAACAATTAACCTTGAGCATATATATAAGTCCTAGTCTGTAGTTTCACAGCATTTCTTCCGATCTAGAATTTATATATTTTCAGCTGTTTCTCCCACCATATAAAATGTCATCTCTTTTTTGATAGTGGTATGGACCAAGAAGTCTCGCTTTTCTAGTGCCAGAGTCACATTTTCAACCTGAAACTTCAGTGAGTTACTACATGGCTGTAATATCTAGCTTCATATTTTTCAGACCTAGGTAGCACTCCTTTGACCTGTCAGTGGTATTCTCCACACCTCTGTCTTTTTACTTACTAAAAGGGTAAAAAACAAAAGACTACACCTTCTAATCCCACCCCTGAGTCTTTCAAACTCTTAAGTGGATTTAGATTGGTATTTCTAACTGCAAAGGACTGTGCCCAAATGCTGTGTATATACTTCCTCTAATTTTCAAGAAGTTGTGCACCATTTACTCAGTAAAATTAGACTGGTGATATGATAAAAATTATGACAAAGAAATCTCATTGAATATAATCAGCCATAAAAATAGGTATAAAAATGATTACTAATGAATTTGTTAAGTGATTCCTGTAGATAAAGACAGCTTCTTGTCATGAGTGCCTTTCTGGTCCAACATGAACATTTACCTGCCATGATAAATGGCTGTTCTGAAGTCATCAATGTGAATGTCAACCCAACCCTGTAAGTTTTGAAATAATCATGAGAATTTCCTATGCTAGAGTTCTATTAGTTGGCTGGTTATAGGGAACTGCATATGTGACTTCTGCATTTTAATTCTCTCTAGCCTTAATACATATTTTTTAAATAGACATATTTAAATTAGACTGCAAATAGGGTATTAGTATATTTTATACTACTGCAAAAAATGTTTTTATTCTGCTTTAATTCATTTTGAATGAACTTGCTCTAAATGAAATAGGTAGTTCATAAACAGAACTGCTGTTAAGTCAAGTAAGGAGCTGGTTTTGTACTATATTTTAGTGATGGCTCTGTAAATCGTGTTGTTTAATGTAGATTATAATTTCTTCTCAGTCAAGTATATAAAGTGCTCAGTCTGCAGGCATTCTGTAAACAACAGAAACACAGTAACATTTTTATCCATAACAATCTGCTCGCTGCTGTTAACTGTAAGCAAGGCTGCCGCCCGAAGGAATCCATGGAAATGGCACCCTGTTTGCACAGGCAGCTCTGGCTTGACATTCAGAACCCTATAGACTTTTTCAGTATTTGGCACTGCTGATTATAATGCTTCTCTTTATTGTGGTTCTAAGTGATATTAAAATACATAAAATAATAACATTTTCAGAAAAGAATCTAATAAATGCATATATAGAAAGATTATTTTATAGTGATGACAAATCTTGCAAAGTGAATGCTCTACTAAAATGTGTAGTTCAGTTGACTTCTGCATGAATTTCAGCACACAAGCTTAGAAGGCAGACTCAACACTTTGTATTTTTGGCTTCTGAACTCTCGTCTCCCATGTTTAATTTTTTATATTTGTACATAGAGAAAATACTTTTTTCATACATTCTTTTTAAAAGAAAAAAAATCTGTCAATTTTAATGAACTTTTTCCTGTTTATATGCAAATTACTTTGGAGGTAGGAAGTAGTTTGACACTGTTTTATTAACTTAAGGTTATTTCATAAGCAGAACTTAGCTAAGAACTTTAAAAAAAAAACTTTCTCCCAAGGCATTTGTCACAGTCATTCGATTGCGTTTATAATATGAGTGCCCCTTGTATTTTTGGATATTCAACATAATTAAGTGAAATCAGTATCTGGAAAGGAAAAAAAACCCAAACTTCTGGCTAAGCCTCTTAACTGCCATCTAAATGCACAAGCTGTCCTGGTAATGCTTTGAATGAACAAAATGAGCAGCCTTCTAACAGTGCAGATCAATTAAAACTCTGGTAAGAGCTCCATGCCAGAAGCAAAATAGGTGCAGGCTGAAGTGCAGTTTTTATGTCCCTGCTGCCCGAATTGAAAAATATGCTGCTTTTTCGTGTGTGATTATTGTTTAAAAGTAGTTTGATACCAGCATTATGTAGTCACATAATTGATAGAGAGGAGGATTCTAGACACAGGTTGCTGCTCCATCTTAATATCCATATTATGCATGTATACATAAATTTATAAGTGTTGTACTAAGACCTGGCCAATCCAATCTAGTTTTCCATTGGTTAAAGTTAAAGCTGAAATAAGACTTAACAGACTTGACTGCTGTAATATTAATTTTAATTGAAGTAAATTTAAAATAATTTATCATTTATGTAGGGTTATTTAAAAAATACTTAGAATTAAAATAAATCCAGGTTGTTGAATGTGCGTAGCTTGCCAGCTATCAAGTGGATCTTAGGTTACATATTTAAAGAAAAATTTTAGTAACTGTGTAGTTAAGTCTCAAGATTATCTACCTTTAGAACCTTGGGTTTGATTTTATTTGTTTGGTCGGATGTGTGGGGTTTTTGGGGGGGATGATGGGTATGGTATTTTGAAATAAAAACAGAGTTATAAAAATGTGTTCAATGTTCAGATCTCCATAATTTCTGTTTTTAATAGGTATTTGTATAAGTTAGCTTAAGTCTATTTGTGTAACTTAACAAAACTGTTTCAGAAAACACAAAATAATTTTAAGCAAAAGAAGAAGTATATTCTCCGTGTACCTGAGGAGAAGATCTAACAGAGTTAGGAAGTGTGCCAAAATGTTTCAATTTCTAATATGTGTTGCCTTTTCTCCTGGTGCTAAAGAAATATTATCTGTAATGTAAGCGTAAGATGGGATAAAGAAATCTGAGTAAACAGATGTGTTTGTATGTACACCTGAAGAGATAAAAAGCTGTGCATGATGACAGACATGAGGTCAATTGCCAAATGTGGCCATACATGGACAAATCACAGGACTTCAGTCCCCAGAGGACTGTGTTCTGAAAATAGAAGGGAAATTGAGCCCTCAGGAAAGAAATGTATAAACTCGTTTGCTCTGTCTTCTGAACTATGTTTGAGAATTAGGTTTATTAAGAAGGCTTATGCTGGTTCTGAATCACCCTTTGCTGTCAGTAATGTTGTCTGATAAAGCAAAATGAACAGGTCACCCAGAGAGGTTTTGCAGTCTCCACATTTGAAAGTATTCAGAACCCAACTGGAGACAACCTTAAGAAACCTGCTCTAGTTGACTCTGCTCTGGGCACAGGGGTTGAACGAGGCAATCTCCAGAGGTCCCTGACAACTTTAGCTGTTATGTGATTCAGTTCAAACAGGGAAGAAGCTTTATGAGGCCTAGAAGCCTAGAATTTTCCATGTAAACAGCTAGCTTTGTGCTAAGTTGGCTTTTTTTTTTTTAGATTGGAAGTTTTCTGAGAATTTACAGCATTCATACGAAACAAGCAAGTGCTGAGAATGAAGATGTCTCGCATATAGAATTTCATCTTCATGGTGGCACCTGTTACGGTCGAGGAATAGGAGTCTTGCCAGAAAATAACCCCGATGTTAAGGAACTAAAAACGTAAGTTTTATGTGTAGGTGTTTTGGGGTTTTTTTTCCTAGGTGATTCTTGAAAACTCTAGGCTAATGTAACAACTGTACAGTTTAGAGTTACAAACATATCTAAGAACCAGAAACTCTAGAGCAGAATATGTCATTAGCACCACTAAGATGAAGAGTATTTGGAGGGATAGGTAAATAAAGGCTATTTTTTCAAATTTTGAATATAATAGGGATCAAGATTTCTATTTTATAGTGCTGTAATAATAAATCCTGGCCATGTTAACATACTTGCTCTGTATTATGGTGGCATATAATCTTTTGAAGACAAAAACCTTGTTTCAGCAAATAAATTATGCACATTTTAAGCATGTACATATGTGTTAATTGGAAGTGGTGAGATTTAAAGATGTTCAAAATGAAACAGATAATTTAAATGCCTTACTGAACTGTGTTATATTCATAAGGAATCACAGAATCATTTAGATTAGAAAGGACCTTTAAGATCATTGAGTCCAAATGTAAACCTTGTCCAAGTCCATCACTAAACCATGTCTCTAAATGCCACGTCTACACATCTTTTGAACACCTCCAGAGATGATGACTCCTCCATTTCCATGGGCAGCCTGTTGCAGTGCTTGAAAACCCTTTCCATGAAGAAATTTTTCTAAATATCGAAACCTCCCCTGGCACAGCTTGAAGCCATTTCCTCTCGTCCTGTCACTAGTTTCCTGAGAGAAGAGGCCGACCCCCACCTTGTCATAACCTCCTTTCATGTAGTTGTAGAGAGCAATAAGATCTCCCTTCAGCCTTCTTTTCTCCAGGCTGAACAACCCCAGCTGCCTCAACTGTTCCTCATATGAATTACTCTCTAGACCCTTCACCAGCTTTGTTTCCCTTCTCTGGACTCACTCCAGCACCTCAATGTCTTTCTTGAAGTGAGGAGCCCAGAAACGAACTCAGCATTTCAGGTGTGACCTCACCAGTGCCAAGTACAGTGGGACAATCACTGCCCTGGTCCTGCTGGCCACACTATTTCTGATACAAGCCAGGATGTCGTTTGCCTTCTTGGCCACCTGAACACACTGCTGGCTCCTGTTCAGCCCACTGTCGACCAGCACCCCCAGGTCCTTTTCTGCTGGGCCACTTTCCAACCACTCTGCCCCAAGCCTGTAGCTCTGCATGAGGTTGTTGTGACCCAAGTGCAGGACTCAGCACTTCACCTTCTTGAACCTGATACAATTGGCCTCAGCCCATCAATCCAGCTTCTCCAGATCCCTCTGTAGAGCCTTCCTGCCCTCCTGCAGATTAACACTCTGGCCCAACTTGGTGTCATCTGCAAACTGGCTGAACCCTCAATCCACTCGTCCAGAACATTGATAAAGACATTAAACAACTGGCCCCAATACTAAGCCCTGAGGAACACCATGAGTCACCAGCCACCAGCTGGATTTAACTGCATTCACCACCCCTCTCTGTACCCAACCATCCAGCCAGTTTTTTACCCAGTGAATAGGCACCTGTCCAAGCCATGAATAGCCAGTTTCCTTGGGAGAATGCTGTGGGAGTGAGTGTCAAAGGCTTTACTAAGGTCCAGGTAATCTACATCCACAGCCCTTCACTCATCCAAAGTGAGTGGGTCACTTTGCCATGAAAGGAGATCAAGTTGGTCAAGCAGGACCTGCCTTTGATAAACCCATGCTGGCTGGGCCTGATGCCCTGGTTGTCCTGCTCATGCCACATGATGGCACTCAAGATGATCTGCTCCATGACCTTCCCTGGTACCAAAGTTAAACTGACAGGTCTGTAGTTCCCTGGGTCACCCGTCTGACCCTTCTTGTAGATGAACATCACATTTGCTAACTTCAGTCAACAGGGATCTCCTTGCTTAGCTGGACTGCTGATAAATGATGGAAAGTGGCTTGGTGAGCACTCACACCAGCTTCCTCGGTACCCATGGGTGGCTCCCATCCAGTCCCATAGACTTGTGTATGACTAAGTGGTGTAGCAGATCACTGATCATTTCCTCTTGGATTATGAGTGCTTCATTCTGCTCCCCATCCGTATCTTCCAGCTCGGGTGTGAGTACTCAGAGAAAAACTGGTCTTACTATTAAAGGCTGTGGCAAAGAAGGCATGAGGTACCTCAGCCCTTTCCTCATCCTTTGTCGCTGTTTCCCCCCACATCCAACAAAGGATGGAGATTTTCCGTAGCCTTCCTTTTGTTGATGATGTATTTGTAGAAACTATTTTTGTTGTCTTTCATGGCAGTAGCCAGATCAAGTCCTAGTTGGGCTTTGGCCCTTCTAATTTTCTGCCTGCATAACATCCTTTAGTACTCCTGAGTGGTCTGCCCCTTCTTCCAAAGGTTATAAACTATTTTTTTCCTTAGGAAAGGCTAAGTCACCAAAGTCCATATTCCTTTATCAGAAATTCTGTTTCCAGTAGTACGTGTTTCTTTTTGGCACTATATTGTGCTTAATGTTCCAGAAGTGATTTGGAAAGGAGTGTCTTATCTGCATCATTAATATAATTCCCTGCAAATTCTGGCTCAGCTGAGTTTTATATCTCTGCTGGAACCTTTATGAGTGAACATTATACCTGTGTATTGATAATAAATAGGTATCGTATAAGTGTCTGTGTAATCCCATTATATATGTGTGTGCGTGTGTGTGTATGTAGATATATGAAAGATTTCTCTAGATTATAAAATATTTAATCATTTATTTTTAGATTCTTAGAATCTGTGGATCTGGCAGACAGTCAGAATATGGAAAGCATGTCTTCAGTGGAATTAGACGGCACTTTTAGCGATTTTACGGGTAAGAGCAATTGGTCTTTCTTCTAACAGATATATATGGTCAAGAAAAGGTCACAGTTACTACTTCTCTAAGTATGTAATGTTAATTTCACATGCAAAGCCTTAGAGAATTATTTTGGATTATTAGACTGGAAATTTTCATTACCCTATCTTTCTGTCTCCCAGCCTTTCATATTACACAGAAAGATACTTTCATAGGAGGTAGTGAATAAATTCTTAAACACAGATGGTGTTCTTAATCATATTATATTAGATCACAAAGCAGAGTTATGTAACTCCCTTCCTCTAGGATTCTTCAGGGACAGGCACTGAAAACACTACTGAACAGCTGTGTGTTGAGGAGCCCTGAAGTCATTGGATGGAAAGTTGTGTCAGTGGCAGAGCTGTAAGGTGCAGTGCCATGGAAAAGTAGCATCTTACAGGCAGTTTTACAGATCCCATATTATTCTTTGAATGGCATTTTTAGCCCAGGATAAGAATAACTAAAGGGGAATTAAACTCTAAAGGTGGTTGGACATAGCCTATATCTTTGCTTCTAGCTTTTAAAATCCTGTGTTACTTAGCCATTATTAATGTACTGTGACTGGATATTTCTAAAAGGATGTAAAAGTCAAGAGTAAATGAATACTTCATGTCCAGTCCATAACTGCAAATTTAGAAAGAATTTTGCTCTTATTTACTGCACTCTGTGTGTATAGTACAGGTTGTTCAGAGGAGGAACCAGGCAGTCCATATTGATTTTAGAATAATATATTTATGTTCTTGTCCCAAAAGATTGCAGGGGATGAAAACAGTTTATGTTAGCAGATCATTGACAGTATGCTTTTGAAAAGTGTTCATTTTGATGAGCATTACTATTTAATGTATATGTTAACTTCCACTCAGTATATTAACTCTTGATATGTAATGTTTGCCTCCTGCTTGCTTTGCTTTTTTCTTTTGCTATGTTGTTTTCATACATTATTGGGATTTCCATTTTCCTCTGTTCAGCTTTTGGGTTTGTGTATGTATCTATCTGCCTATCTACCTACCTGTTTTTGTATGTCCACATAATAAAAAAGAAAAGAAGGAAGGAAAATAATTAGGTAATTCTTCTTGATTTTAGATCTTGAATCGCACTTACAGAGATGTCAGCAGTTACCTGTTACAGGTAGGTAATATTTTGACCTAAAGTGAATTTGTATTTTGCTAAAGAACAAAAATAGTTTTGAGATATTGTCTCAAAGGCTGAAATAATCTTTTACTTATTATAGGAAGAGCTATTTTAAGAGTATAAGTGTATCTATGTTACATTGGTTTTATTTGGCTTTTTAAGGAATAGAGCATATTTGTATATTCTACTTTCATTTGTTATTTCTACATGTTGAATTTCTGGACCCTGAAGTGCACCATGCATCTACAGCCTCTTTTGATTTATCTTACAGACTGTAGTAACATGTTGTATTGATAAAACTAAGGCTGCAACTGGGAGGGAAAGAAAAGTTGGAAATTAAGGAAAAATGCAAACCTGCAATTGCCATTTCCTGTATTCCAAATATTATGGTATTTAATAGGTATGCATGGTGCTTTTTTGTGTGTGTGTATTGTTTTGCAGTATTAACAGATCATCAGGATTTGAATAACACAGAACTGAAAACCATTATGAACAGCACAGCTCCTCAACAGTATCGCATTAGAGCAAAGCTGAGAACCTATAAACCCCAGAAGCTCCATCAGTCTATTAAACTTCATTGTTCCAGATGCAACTCCTTGTAAGTGTTTCACGCAGTATAATGTAATTGAAACTCACTGATAATAGGGAGGAAAATTTTAAATCATCAGATAAGTTCCATTTATGAATCCTTTGAGTGCTCTCAAAACAATAACTTTTCTTTATTTTCAAATGCAGCAGTGCAGTTTTTCCACACCAAAGTTGTATTTAAGTACCTGTTTCTTTCTTGCAGTTTTAGAATAGGATATGCAAAGAGGTATGATAGTTTCCAAGTGAATGAGTAAATATCTTTGACTTAAGTGCATCTCCCAGACAAGGCATCTTTTCTGGATCCAAAAATATTGGGGAAACCATAGAATGGCTTGGATTGCAAGGGACCTTAAAGATTATCTTGGTCCAAACCCCTGCCATGGGCAGGTATACCTTTCACTAGACTGGGTTCCTCAGAGTCCCATCCAGCCTGTCCTTGAACACTTCCAGGGATGGGACATCCACACTATTCACCTTGTTATTTTTGTCCTTTTTTCTGACCTGTGTGAGTTCACTTGACTATTGTATCATTGTTATTTCCCCTTTAATGCTGTTTGTCATTGTATCAAATAATGCTCACCTATTTTTGATTAAACTGTTGGGTGGTATGCATTGAAGTGCTATCCATGATCATCTGAATCCTGTACCATTTTTTTTGCCTGACTTAACATCAGTCCCAAGCAAACAGCTTTATTGTTACTGATGTAAACTATTACTTTCTTTAATGATGGCACATTAGCATTCTCCTAGCCTTTTGTAAATTTTTGCACAATCAAGATTTATCAGATGCAAACATCACTGAGACAAGCAAATGGCCCTGCTGTCCTTCTCTTACAGCTTTTGGATGCAAAGTATGCCTGCAGCTTTAACAATATTGGTCTTTATCAGATATTCATAATGCAACAGGAGTACTTCAGCATCTTCACAACATACAAGGACATGGACTTTATTGCCAAGTATAAAAAGGAGATAATTACCTATAATAACTATGTCTACCACTTTTGTCACTTGTTTATATATTTGTCAAATCTATATAGTAATAAGCAGGTACAACTGATAGAATTTTGTTTGTTCTTTATGAAGCTTATCACAAAACTTTCCATAAATATTATAGTCTTTTTGTATATTCTTGACTTGTTATGAGCTTTCTTTCTGTTCATTTTAGTCGTCTCCTCTTTCACATATTGTTGCCTTCTCTTTGCCACAGAATTCGGACAGACTTTTAACTACATAGATTTCTGATGATTTATTTAGCATATTTACTATTACCACCATCCTGCTGCTATGATAAAACTACTTGCAGTGCTTTTGTAGAAGTTTAGCTTCTCTTCTCAACTGTGTGCATCAGGTAGAAGCAATCAGTGAAATATAGTGGGACTGTACTTCAGCCTGGATTGAGTAGATTAAGAGGCCCAAGAAGGACACATGATCCTTCTCTCTTACATATTCTTCTGTGGCAGAAGTTGTTTCATGTTTTGGCATATGCTGAAGGCCCTGGCTGAACAAAGCTCAATGCAAGCTTGATCCTTTAAAACTTTATCCAGTAAGATGTATATATGCTTAGGGTATAAAATCCTTGTGAGAGATGTATTTTTAATATTTTTAAACCTTGGCTGGAAGCCTCTTTGTAAATAGCAAAATACCAATATAGATGAATGTAGTTTTATTCATGTATCTATTTTATAGAATTTTCAACCCTTGCGTATAGCTTAGTTCAAAAACAACTAATTTCATTCCTGCCTCTGAGGGAAGTCTTCAGACAGGCTGTAGTGGCTGGAAGAGTTGTCTGGACAGGTATGTCTGGACAGATGACTTGCTGCTGTAGGTTGAAAAAGGCTTTTTCCCTGGAGTTGGAAAGTAGTTAACCCCAGGGGTGGTGTTCTTGGTGTTGAGCCAATCAGCACCCCTGTGAAATTAGCATATTACACAGACAGAAAAAAGAAGACTGGGTACGTAGCTGGAAGGAGAGGCAGCCGTGGCTTGAGACACCACGTGTTAGAGCTGAGGGGCCAGTGAGCCCCGCTGGGGGCCAAGGCCCCCAGCCCCCGGCCGGGACCCCAGGAGACCCAGTGTAGTGTTAAAACTGGACCGGGTACCATGGCCAAAGGCTGGGGGGGAGTTTCTCCACTGTGAGGGGGCAGCAGAAGACGCTGAAGCGGTGGCAGAGGCAGCACTGAATAGCGAGCTATGGCTGAAAGCCAAGACGATAGCCGGCGAGCAGCAATATGGCACAGGGCCAGGCTGAGAGACGCAGAGGTGTCCTGCAGAGAGAAAGCTGGCAACAGAGCAGAGAAAGCTCAGCAGAGACTGTTTTGGGGTAAGACTGAATTACATCCTCAAAACCCTGAGATCTCCTTGGAAGGAGGGGTGGGCTTCCAAATTTGAAGGGAGTCCTGAAATGCAACTGCAGCTAGAGAGAGAGAGGAGCTGAGGGCCCGGAGGTGTCCTGCAAGCTAGACCAGGATGGTCAGACCAAAGAATGCAGGGGAAGTGTGCATCCACCCCTGCCACGTTTGCAGCCGAGACGGAGCAGAAGAGCTCTGCTAGAACGCTTGGGGCAAGAACTGAACTGAAAGCCCCTAAAATGTTCTGACCCGGGGGAACTTGGCCCCCCGGGGAAAGGGACTTTTACAGAATGCTTTGCACTCCTTGATATGACCGTGGTAAGGTGAGTTTTGTCCCTGCTTTGCAGTCCACGGGCGAGACCTTCGGTTAGAGCCGAATGGCTGAGAGGGGTGAGAGAGATACCCCTGCGTTGTAATGAAGAGAAAGAGAGATTTTTTCCAACTACAACAAATTGGAACTGCTGCTTTGGAGAGGAAAGATTGTACTGCCCTGAAAGTGAAAAAGACTTCTTCTTTCCTTCTGGACTTCTATGGAGAGAAGGAGAGATGATCTATGTATATATATTGTTTTACTATAGGAGAGATAGTTAGGATTGTTGTATATATATATTATAGTATTTATTGTGTTAGTAATAAATTTTGATATTATTCCCCCATGTTGGTAGTTATGCATGTCTGAAAACTTCTCTCACACTGAAGCAAATTGTGGAGAGTTTGAAAATTGAATTTTTGGAGAGTCAAACTACGACACCTGCTATGTTAGGTCCATTGCCTTTACGTTTAAATTAGTAATCCAGGAACACAGGCAGAAAGGTTTATGTGAAGAGCACTATGGTCAGGTTTGGGAAGATCTCTTGTTTGCCAGTTCTGCAGTCATTGCAGAAGAATATCAAAGTTTGGTTTCATAGGAAAGAATTGTTCTATTCAGTGGTGGAAGCAGATGCTCTTGGGTTTGAAAGTGAAATCATCAGAATAATCTGCAGGAGCAGGAGTCGATGGCATTTTTTCTTCAGCTCCACTCTAAAGTTTGACACCTACTTTCTTGCAGTGTTTTATGAAATAGCCCGTTTTTGCCTTTTTTTTATTATCCTTTTTGTCACAGTTCATATTCCACCTGAAGCCAGCGGGTCTGTTTTGCTTAGGAAAAACATTCTAGTGCTGCTTAATTTGTGTGCCAGCTGCTGACTTTTTACCTGTCATTGGTAAGTCTCTAAGCCGCTCTCCATGTTTTATCATCAGTCCTGGATAACTGGGGAGGTCCCAGATGTTTGGAGGTTGGACAAAGTGATGCCCATCCCCAACAAGGGCTGGAAGGAGGATCCATGGAACTACAGGCCTATCTGGAGCACAGATCCTATGAGGAGTGGCTAAGGGAACTGGGATTGTTTAGCCTGGAGAAGAGGAGGCTTAGGAGAGACCTTATCACTCTACAGCTACCTGAAAGGAGATTGTAGCTAGGTGAAGGTTGACCTTTTCTTTCAGGCAGCTAGAGACAGGATGAGAGGAAATGGCCTCAAGTTGCACATGGGGAGGTTTAAGTTGGACATTAAAGAATTTCCTCACAGAAAGGGTAATTAGATACTGGAATGGGCTGCCCAGGGAGGTGGTGGAGTTACTGTCTCTGGAGGTGTTTAAGGAAACACTGGACATAGCACTTGGTGCCATGGTCTAGTTGACGTGCTGGTTTTGGGTCATCAGTTGACCTGATGATCTCAGAGGTCTTTTCCAACCTTATTCATTCTGTGATTCGGTAATACTGGTAAAAAGTGAATGGCCTGCATTATTGCTTCTCTGTGAATGACGAGTGGAAATGCACGAATGGTGCACTCTAGCAGGACAAGAAAGAAAAATGTGGTACAGAGTTGCAGATTTTCCCTTTACAGTACTTATGTGAAGCTATTCTGCTCCTGTCCTTTTTCTTTTTTTTTCCCCCTCAATATATGCAAAGTCAAATAGACTAAAACATAAACCTTGAAATTATGTAAGCTTATACGGCTTTTTCACTCTCATGAAGTGGTATGCAGTTGTGTGACCCGTTTAAGGCCCAGCTGAAGTCACATAAAGCTGATATTATTTAGTCTTCCATGGATACATATATATGTGAGTGTGTATGTGTGTGTGTGTGTGTATGAAGCCACTAGGCTACCTCTGCTTCTAGGTAAGTTGGCACATAACTTAGCGTATTTATTAACATGAAAAGTCATTATATACTATACAACTGTAAATGTTTAAACTGATAAAACAATGAGGATATTTTTCCTGTATGTACTTTAACTCTCATGACTGTATTCTAATATTTATTTGGAGTAGTGTCATCCTTGTTAATAGATTGCCTAAGGAGAAGCTTTTAGAATTTACTTACTTATCTTGGAAATGTTTTAGGCAAGAAGTTCCAGATGGAGATGTGTTTGACTTTATTTTACAACGCTCTGCCATTACTGCCCCAAACCCAGAATTACACAATACATCCTGGTATGATTCTGTAATGTGGACTACACAAGACCAGAAGCAAAGGAAAATAGCTATCCATTTCGTAAAGCATGATGAAATGCTTCAACAGCCTGAAGACACCTTGCTTATGATAGAAGGTAAGGTAGATGGCAAATATACCAGCTCTTATGGCACAATGTCTACTCTGAGGATGTACAAAGTGAAGATATGTTGAAGTTGTATTCTATGTAAGTAGTGGTGATCCCAAAGGCATCTTAAAAGAAAAGAACTTCCCTGGAACTGTAGGTCACTGTTGTGCAAATAAGAAAGGGTAATCTTTGAAGGTCTTGTAAGGTGCTTCTATCTATTTTAAAACTAAACCTATATGTTTATTGTTGATTATGCTAAAATTAACACCTGACTTTATTTTTTTGAGTTGTGCTTATTGTTTTTTCAGTTCTGATTTAAAAACTCGCTGAGTCTTCTAAACAAACCTGTTTTTAGTATTGACATAGAGAAGTTTTGAAAGGCTTCTGGTAATACAAGCCTACAATTAACTTTGTCAGCCTCTGGATGTCAGTGTTGTTTCAGATTAATAGAGTTTCTCTCACTGTGAGTTTTTTTGGTTTGTTGTGGTTTTTATCAGAATTCCTCAGAGAAGCAAAATAGCCACTGACTTTTAAACAAAGCAATTTAGCGAGAATACTATTGAGGAATTCTTTAATAGAATAAAAATAATAAATAATTGCAAATAGTCCCATTCAGATTTAAAACAAAGTCTTCGATTGTGCTCAAGTAATGGTGTGAATAAGCAAATGTAAGTCAGATGGTCCTTTGTATAGGGGTCAGTGACAAAACCCCTTCTGTTTTCTGCCTTGTTTTATAAAATTGCTAGTAAAATCATAGGAGAAATTATATGAAAGTGATGCTAACTAAATACAACTTCTTGGTTACAGTGATAGCTATGAGGAAGATATTAAGGCATGTGCTTTTATGAATGTCAATCTTTGATTCTTTATTGAGTCTGTTGTTGAGTAAGAGTGAGAAAGTATTGGGCTATTTTTTGAGTTTTCAATGGTGGATCTCAATTATTATTGAAGGTCCTAAAATCATTATCTAATCAGCCAAGAACTACAAGTTGTTTGATTTATTCGTGATTACAGTTTAAGAAACCATGTTTTTCTATTTTTAATAGGTGGAACACTAAAAGAAGTCTGGAAGCTTACAAAAAGATTTAAGTGTGTTATTCCTGTGAGATCCACAGAAGTTGATCTGGAATTATTAGATCTTTCAGCTCCTTTTCTTTTACAAGGGAATGTAAAATATTATGGGTAGGTTAAAAGTATTTGTTGATGTTTCAATAGTTGCAGTAATAGATACCATTTTCTTCAGTAATTCAATATGCAATGCTCAAGGCATAACTCACCCAAAGATTCTTTGATGCAAAATACATAACATGATGTGCAGTACCTAGTACCTGGAGTACCTTAATCTACCTCTTTTAGTCCAGGTCTTCCATTTTGTCGTCTCACTTAAAGTCAAAACACATATTGCTTTTAAAACTGTATACGGGGTTGGATTTTTTAATATATTAACAATATAGCAGATAATATTTAAATAGAGACCCAGAAAATTATCTCAGGCTGTCAATCTACATCTCATTCTCTCTCATTCTTAGTGTTGGGAAAGCTTGGGGTTTGGAAGAAGTAAGGGATTTTGGACAGCCTATCCTTACTATTTGTCATTTATTGTGATCCTCAGCACTGCAAAGTGCCTTACCTGTTTGTGGATGTCATTCACTGTAGAGACGACTTAACAGGTTTCTGAATTCCACAGTTCCAAGGCTGTGGAATACAGTACATACGTCTCGGTGTGGTATCTGTGATCTGCTCAATGAGTGCCAGCAGCAGTGTGTTCTCCCAGTACTGCCCAGCAGCGTGCAGTTACTGAGCTCAGAAATACCAGTTACTTCATGCAAGCTATTGAGTCCTCTCTCTCTCAGCAGTCCTAGTAAGTTCAAGCAGAGCACAGCGCAGTGGGGCACTATGTCAGGTCTGTAGGCAGTAAAAAAAAGTTCTGTGTGGAAATATTGCATGTTTCATGTGAACCCTAAAGTTTCCCATAAGGGCCATCTATAAAATGAATACAGGTTATTATTTCTCTTTGTCATATATTGTTTTCACCTTTACAGATATGGCTGTCTACAGCTTTTTTAAATAAAGTCAGTACATGGGTACTCCTACTGGGACAGGATCTTCACCAATAGGAAGTATTTCCCCTTGCACTTTCATAATCCATATATTTCCCCAGCTACACACAACTCACCTTCAGATGTTGTTCTCTCTTCAAATGGCTGGATTGTAAAAGTAAATGCTTTATAAGATATTCCATGATTGTTTATAGGATATTTAGGAAGGAACCTCACAGGGGTGCTGACATTTCAGAATGATGTTTCATGTGCTTTTTTTATCAGTGGCATATACTTAGCAAAGTCTAAAAAAGATTCCGTATAGTAGAATGAATTTATATGTGTGTGCATGAGCATGTATATTCATACGTATATATATATAAATAGACACACTTGCATATAAAAAGCAAAATTCACAGCTAAGTTACTTTATTGGAGTTTGAGTGGGTTTTTTAAAGGAAAAAAGTGACTTAGCTGAGCTTGACTTTATATCACTGAAGCACAAATAGTTCTATTGATTTTTATGACATGCTTTGCATATAATTCTAAAAGATAATAAATGTTTATTTCAAGTTCTAACTGTAATATAGTAGCAGAGCAGCTTATTTGGAAGAATAGTTGTTCTATAATTTTATTCCCTGAGGCAAATGGAAACAGTTCTTCAGTATTTTTGTCCACTTGCAGCGTTTGCTATGTCAAATGTAAAATTTATAATTATTGGTGTAAGTACACCGGTAATAAAATAGATTGTTCTAATAATTCATAGTTAATATTCTCAACATAGGCAAAGCCAAATTTCTCCTCAAACCCTGTTGTGGTTTTAGAGTGTGCTACAAGTTCAGATTCATTCCTGCTTTTGCAAAGCAAGAAGTAGTGAATATGAATATATGTTTAACAATGTAGTGATCTTGGAATCATAGAATGGTTTGGGTTGGAAGGGACCTTTGAAGATCATCTAATCCAGGCACCCCTGGGGAAAGGGACACCTTCTACTAAATGTGGTTTCTCACCTCCATCTGTCCTGGACTTGAATAATTCCAGGGGTGGGGCATCCACAGTCTTTCTGGATAACCTGTCCCAGTGCCTCACCACCCTCATTGTAAAGTATTTCTTCCTTCCGTACAATCTAAATTTACCCCCTTTCAGTTTAAAACTGTTGCTCCTTGTCCTGTCACTATAGGCCCTGGTTAATAGTCTCTCTCTGTCTTTATTATAAACCCCTCCTATAAATTGAAAGGCCACAATAGGGTCTTCCCGGAGCCTTCTGTTTTCCAGGCTGAACAACTCCAGCTTTCTCAGCCTTGATGTGCAGTTTTACTCCTGTCTATTCATGGAGGTGGTCTTTTCCAGATTTATTTCTTCTCAGGTATATTTCAGAAACAGCATTAAGGGGTTTGATGTGATCTAAAGCTGGTGTGTCTGGTAAAATAGTTATTTTAAGCAGCAACAGAAATACTTTTGCAATCCCACTGCGTAAGAAAATCAGAATTTTTTTTTTCTATGCAGAAAGCTTCTAGTATTAATAGATAAGTGGTTAGTCTCAATATCTTGTTTTAAATGGTAGGTGCAAGCAGTGTTCCACTCCAAAGCCAATCAAGAATCTAAGTTCCATTGCAGCAGAACAGCGACCATCATGGGACCCAACTGAAATAGCGCAAGGTCAGCTGAAATGATACTGTCCTGATATACCTTGATTCTGAAGTGTTTATGTGAAATACTTTGGTTTGCAGTTCTGGGTTGCAGTTTTTTACAGAAAGCATGTAATTTATGGTCACATTGAATATAATGCTGTAAAACTTATTCACCTTTTACCAGTAGAAATAACATATTTACTTTTGAAACTATCGCAGTATGAATTAAAGGATTTTATATGTTGACTAATTTCTTCTACCATAAGTATCAGTAGTAACACTTATCGTAGTACAGATGTCATGAATTTTTGGTTGCAGGTTGTTAAACTGTGTATATGCTTGCAGTCCTTGCTTTTCCTTTTGAAGATACAGTTTTTCTGACCTGAACTAAAGAGAGTCTTAGTTAATGACTCATAAAAGTTAGACTTTTATCTTCTGTAAGCCTTAGGCTAAGCATATTCCACAGAGTCTGCAAGAAGTAATATTCAAATGAAAGGCATTATACCACAACATTTATGTATGTTCCATGCTTTGTGTGTTCCTTGTGTTACTGTATGCAGTCAACATGTTAAAAAGCTGGAAGTGGAGCTTAAAATTTTACAACACATTAGGGAAAGAGAATGTTTTTATGTTTATTGATTCATGTTCTAACATATTGTCAGAATATCTAGCAGTACATAAGTTTTGTAAAGATTTTATAAAAGAAAAAAAACTATTTGAGCAATAAAGTGATTCTGTTAAATAAGCTGTTATAATTGTATTCTATTATATAAATGTAAAGTAATATATAACTGGCAGTGATTGACATTTAATTCTCAAAGTGAAACCAGTATTGATTAATGCTTCCTTACATTTGCACTATTTTATGTATATTATTCTTCTATCATTTGTGTTTTCAGACTAAATTATAATCTGCAAGTATATCAGATCAGTTGAACATCAAATGACTACCAGTTTAAATAGGTGTACCCAGAAAAGACTGATGCAGAGTTGTAGGAACTTTGTATGTTTAAGTTATTTTATGTTTGCAGCCTAACAGTTACTGCTGCCAGTGAGAGAGTGACTATAGTCGTTTACTCTAAGCTGGAATACTTTCAGAACTGCCAGCAAAGTTTTTTTCTGAATAAAACCACCTAGTAGCTTCTCCTATATCATATGAAACAAGTTTTTTTCCTCAGAAGATAGTTTTCAGATGGAATGCGTTGTTATTATCACTGAATTAAGAGCACCTCTCTTTTAATCTCCCTTGGATAAAAAAACAGGAGTAGGAGAATCCTACCAAGGTAGGAACTAAGATCCAAGCAAATACTATCTTTTGTTTACTAGCGTGAGAATAAGTACTTAAAAATCTTTATGCATTTTTATAGGCTCATCTATGACAGTGTTCACAGGCAAATTGCAATGTGGTCTTAAAATACAAATGACATTTTGCTGTTCACAGCCACTATGTTTTGGTCTGTCAATTTATAGTTTTAATGAGAGTATTCAGTCAGTTACCTATAAAGGAGGGATGTTGTTAACTTGAGTTGTTATAGTTTGTCTTGCGCATTCACTCCAAGAAACATACATTATTTTTCTTCTTCAGTTTTAGGTATTGAACTTCTCCAGTATGTTTTCATTATGAAATTCACTCTGGTTGATGGAACAGGAGCACTAAATGCATACCTTTTTGATTATGTAAGTAGATCTAGGTAAAGGTAGACTCTACAGATTATGTGGGTTTGGTTTTGATTTGTTTTTAAAATAGCAAATGTACGTACACAAATATTCATTATATGTTACCTGAAGTGTTTTTTTGGGGACAGTTACAATACTGTAATGTTGGTAATACTGTACAGAGTGTAGAATATTAAAGCATAAAGACAAAATGGAAGCTTGTAGATAGATTATTTGGTATTTCCATAGACTTTTCTACATTCTAATGGCTGAATTTCTTTATTATTGGCAATGTTAAATTATGCAGCCTGAATGCTGTGTGAATGGTGAGAGTGTTTCAGGATTTATGCAGGTAACTTCTGGATTAGAGTAAAATCTCATTACCTCTCTTTTAAACTTTCAGTAGAATCTTTCCATTCAGTAATGCTTGATTTTTTTGTTTCATATGACCACAAGGTAAAGGGGCCTTCCTTCCCTAGGCAGAACTCAGCTATATCTGTATGGATGTTTGTCTTTTATTTCAGAAGCAGTTTATTCAACTACATTATTAATCTTAGAATTAACCTATCTTCAGTTTTCTGTGAAGCTACTTAAGACCATTTCTGCTACCTGAGACACTGAAGAATGGACACACTACAATTTGAGTGTGACAAAATGGGACAGAAAAAGAATTCAGTGGGTTTTTTTTCCACACTGCAATACTGTTTAATGTGTATATATCTGCATATTTGCCACCATTATACGAAATTACTTTGAATGGGACTTTGAAGAGAATACTTTTCCTTGTTAAATTTTAAGGCTGTAAGTAAAAGTAATATCAGGAAAACCATAAGCATGTTTTCTTAAAATGCACAATATATTAACAGCAAAGGAGGTCAAAGACTGCAATCACCATTTCAGGTAGTCATCTTTTCCTTCTACTGACCTTTTTCCATTTTATATTGAGAAACTAAACTGCAAAAGGAAGGTGGGGGAAAAGATTTTAAACCATCTCTTGATGCAGAATTCAAAAAATTTCTACTTCAGGGTGGCTCACATTCTTGTCAGATACTGCTCAGAACTACAGTTTAGCTGCAGGAAAAAAACACAATTTCCTCCACAGTGCCAGCTGCTCGTGTTCTTGCTGGAAGGACTTCAAAGACAAGCCAATACCTCCCAAGCCTAAACTCCAGTCCTTTAGCACCACCTAAGAAGGAACTGGGCTGCTTTGAAGTGCAGCTGTACACTAGCTTCCAGTTGCACTTCTGTAGGAACACATTCAGTTCTTTTGTCTCCTCCTCTCTTTATAGGAAAAGTCAGTGAAGGAAAAAATAAAAAAGTTTTATAGTGAGAAGAATTGGAAGAGTGAAAGGAAAAAGCAGTTGTCTGTGTCAGTTTTGCTGCTGGATTATCTGCTAACTTCTGATCAGCGCCATTAAACATATCATACAAAAATTATACAAAGGCAGAATTATTCTGTATTTGTATCTTTTGACAAAAATGACAAATTGCCATCAAAAACCTTAGCTCACTCTGAGAACTTATAAGATGATGAACCTTTAGAGATACAAAATCTGATAACAAACTTGGAAAGAATAAAACTGGAGTTTTGTCAGTCATACTTACTGCATGTGGTTTAATAATACACAGAAAATGTGTATTTAATGTTTTAATGTTCCATTCTTTATTTGATGTCTCCATTCAGAAATGTACCCCACAGTATGAGCCTTCCTTCGTAGTTTCTGAAACTGTCAAAAAGTGGAACTCACACTAAGGGAACTGGTATGAAGCCAGGTTGCAGTGCCCCTTTTTTTCAAGTGACTTTGGTCCTCTGAAGATGTTCTACTCACTGCAGTGAGGGACTGTTGAGGGGACCGGCCATCCTCTCCGGCCATAACATTGTCTGATTATGGAAATTTATGAGAAATATCCACCAGTTATGTATAGAGACCTACATGTGTGTTGTCTGGGTGGCTGTAGTTCCTGAATACTCTGTACTTAAATACAGACTATTAATTTTTTATAATAATTTTTTTATTAATACACTGTACTGAAATGCAGATGATTAATTTTTTCAGGTTTTTTTCTGTATCTGAACAGTTTTTGAAATTAGATTATTCTTATGTTACTTAATTTTAAGTTGCTAAAAGAACATAAAGTCAGGGTCCTGGCTAATGATTTCTGACCCCTCTTTCAACACCTCATACTTATCTTTTCTCTTCCAGGAGAAGTTTTTCCAAATTCCTGCCTCTGAAATCCTAAGTAACAATTTTCTTCAGGAAAAGATGCAGATGACCATGAACACGCTCTGTCCTCCAGGAAGAAAATTAGGTCAGTTTGCCGTTATTTTTAAAGGGAGGTGGGGTGGGAAGGGAAGGGATCCTTCAATCTGCTATTGTATATGCAAAGTCTTAGAATTCAACTTATGCACAGGCAAAACTCAGAACAGAGAAATTCTGGAGTCTGTAAGCAGAGTTCCAGTTAATTTGTTCTGATACATTTCTTTAATATTGGAACTCCCTTTGAGAAAGAAAAGTAATGAGTCAGTAAATTCTCATGTAGCATGCAGTGATGTGTGAATACAGTCATGCCTGTGCAGGCACTAACATGTCATTTGTATTCATATGGAAGTTAACTAGAACACCCTCGTACTGAATGTCACAGCGCGTTAGGGAAAGCTGAAAGGAAAATCAGTGTATGGCACATGCTTTGGGTGATATTCTGCTTTCCATTGCACATGTTGATTTAGACCATCCCTTACTACAGGAAACATCCATGGAAATTGAGCAAATACTTAATCCAAGTACATTCACAGAGCTTTTTGTGCAGTGTTTGTGTTGTGGCAGAAAGTGGCTCTGCCTAAACTACACATGTCCAAGGTAGCTGGTTATGTGATACAGCTCCGATCTCTGCAGCATACTCCCAGTACACAGCTGTCAGTGACCACTGCAACCATGCTGCAATCTTTACCATACTTATAAAAAGCGTCCCTGTTGTAAAGGTTGTGAAGGATTTTCCCTTTGCAACCAGTGAAATTGTCTCACTGAGACACATGGAGATTAATTTCTATTATTGGAAAGTCTTTACATATATATATTACATACTGTGGTACAACTACTGGGTCCAAGTGTTTTGGGAGGGTTGCTGGGACAGGGAGGACAAGTCATCAAAGACTGTCACTGAACACTATTTCAGATATTGCAGGAAACTTTGGAGATACCAATTGGAATGTCAAAGTTAGTAATTAATTTTTCTTTCTATTGACTATTGTATGCGTTTAGATATCATAGTTAAGATCCTGCTCAAGTTGTCTCTTATAAAAGTTAGAAATGAGTATTGAACAGTAATTTGGGTTTTGTTGGTAGGTGACTTGCCATGGCTGGAATGCTTCATCAAGTCCTATAATGTCAGAGATGCGATGAAACATCAAGTTTATTACCAAATTTTTGACACTACAGTTGCTGAAGATGTTGCATAGTCATTTGTTGCTAATACGAAGTAAACCAGTAAGGAATTTTTGGGGGTGGTTGGGATCAGAGACTGTATTAAAAGAAATCTTTGTTTCTTTCTCAGAAATTCAAGCTGTGTGTATGAATTTTTAGTTTGTGTATGAATGGGAATTATGCTTCGATGTATTTACATACAGCTTTGTGATGCGAGGGCAAGTGGAGGTGCTAAGCTTTTCACTGGAAGCTGCTTGGCTCAGGCTGATGGAAGCAATCTAGTACTCATCTATCCTTCAAAAAGGCAGTCTTGAGGTTACCGTAAACTGATGAGTTTTACTCAGAAAATGTAGTCAGAGTTATGCTTCTTGTTATTTTTGTATAATGTCAGCAAAGATAGAAGGAGCTTTTCAGTAAACTCTTTCAGACTACTTTGTGCAAGCCTATGTTACTGTTCTCAGCTGGTTTGACAGGGAGATTGTTAGTTTTTAGAGACTTCTTTGATTTTACACTGATGCGTACATTTAGACAGAACTCATCCTCTTGAAAATACTGAGGTAACTGCTACTTATACCAGTTACTATAGATTCTTATGGGGTTATGAGCATAACCATGTAATGACTATCACTAAAATTAAAATCAAGTCATGAAAGTAAGGTAGTGTAAAATTGTTAAATGAATATTGACATTTGGTAGATGGTAATGACTTTTAGGGTGGCCCTGTTGGGTACCAAAGTTGGTAGCCTGCTTATTAGCTGGGTCTGTGTTTTCAAAGGCTCTCATGTATCTGGCTAAATGTACTGTCAGATTGCACTGCCTAGATCTGCCTTTTCCATCTTATGTAATCAGATTGTATGACTAAATTTAGAGATACAGAATTGATCCAGTGCTATCATGGATTGAAAATTCTGCTGGGCTAGAAAAGTGACTTGGTTGTTTTCCTTTGCGTTCAGAAGTCCATAGAACAAATTCAGGACATTTTTCTCCATGGATTTCTACATTAATAATCCATGGAGAAAAATGTCAAATCAAATGCTTTCCATCAGAGCAAAATTAGTTAATATTTAAACAGCTGTTTTTAATGAAGTTCAGAAGCAAGATGGAATATCTATTTGTAAGTAGATTATTATTTTGATAGTAGATGACTTTTTTTTTCCTTTTTCAGGGTTGTTTAGTAGATTATGCAATTTGTCATTTAAAATTTCATCAAATATTTTCTGATAATTTTCTGATTTCTGATAATTTTCTCTAAAAAATTATATTGGTTTTATATGTTGTGAGCCAGGAGATTGTTCTTTATTGATTGGTGCATAGACAGAACCAATATTAAAAGTGGCTAGTGGATATTTCCTTTAAAAATTCTGAAAAATAAAACAACTTTGGACTTGAACAAGCAGTTTACTAAAGAGTCTACTGACTTATGAAAGTTCACCTGAATATTTGAATAAATGTATCAACAAAAAATAGTTACAGCAAGTTACTGAATGAATATTATAAAACTTTGGACACTGGCCACATCCAGATAATTTCAGAAGCTACGGGTTAAATTAAAGGCAATCTTTTTTGCTTCTATTGTATATAGTGTATGAAAACAGGAATTTTTATTTTTCTATTTTTGTTAACTCTGAAAGATATTGGTATTGTACATTTTTTCTAAATAAATCTTTGTAAAGTAATAAATGAGAATATGTTTTGAATTTCGGTGTAAAATCAATATCACCATGTACCTTGTCTGAGATCCGTGCCCAAAAACTCTGCATATGCATCACATGATTCTTTTACTATTGAATATTGTATTAAAATGCTTAATAAAGATATCTCCAAATACTGAGCTTTTCTTGTACTTGACTTTTAGTTTCTAGTTTGTAACTGTGAAAACTTTATCATCAGTAGCCATCATCTAACCAAATGCTCCAAATGAATGTTTATATAGTTTGTTGGATTGAAAAGTACACGTTTAATTCTCTTTCTAGTTAACAATTGAAAATTATATATTTGGCAATACTAAAGATCACTGTATAGAAAGGAATTAGTGCACAGACAATGAAAAAGATCTATGTCTCATTGGTAGCCTTTGTATGGAGCGATGGAAGTCACTGAGGTGGGACTCGGACCTTAGTTGCCTATCCTGGTCAGTGCTGAGACCTGTGAATATTTGACTGAGGGGTGGAAATCCTGAGATTCTTGTGTCCTAAATTTGCAGCACCAACAGGCTACGGTTTTGAAAGCTGAGCATCTCAGGCAGCAATGACTTTTAGCCATTGCTAGCAATCTCCTTAATTACAAAACAAAAGTCACATTTCCTTTGGTGAGTTTCTTGACCAGGTGTATGATTTCAGTTTCTAGACACTCAAAAGTTGAACCAATAGATCAGGTTAATACTGGTACACTAAGATCCAGTGAAAACTCCAGGCATATCTTCCTGGTTTCTCATCTTTTTTCTCCTTCCACATACATCCCAGCATATAGGGTAACTGAATCAAAATGTCAGCTTCTTACTAGAAATGGCAAATATGCATGGAATATGAAGTCTGTCTCACACAGCAAAATCATCACAGGCAAGGGGGAAGAATATCTGATTGTAAATGAGAAGCTGGGAGGGAAAATAAAAAAATTTGAAAGACCAATAAAGGAACATTAACCCATCCCCTGTTCCAATTACACAGGTAAGTGCAGAGAAATTGATAAAATTGTAATTAAAAAAAAAGAAAAAAAAGATTTTCAGAAACAGAAAGGAAAAAATAAATTTGGAATGGTGTTTTTAGGGGTGCCTGTGCAATTGGGCTCCTTGAAGTCAGTGTTTTAAGGGGATTTAAAAGCTTAAGATTGGAAGTCTCTCCAAAGTCAGCCGAATTTAAGCTCCTGGATATGTCAGACTCTTGAAACTCCAATTGAAAAGACAGAATGTAAATAAATAAGAGATTGCAGAAACAAGGAGGCATTCCTGGTAGGTGACCTGCTGTTCAGTGGTGATTGAACTTTCTCATCAGCTTCTGCAGTTATGGGATCCAGAAATTTGCAGACAAGGCTTTGAAATGCTTAATACTAATCCTTTGGCTACTGAGCTGCAGGAGGTGGGATTGCAAGAATAGTAGAGCCCACAGGCTACAAGCTGAGGTTTGCAACAGAAGGAGGAGAGTTTATTGTCTTAACAGGGATGAGTGCTTAGCTCTTCAATACCACAGTGGTTTAGATCACAAAAATTTATGCACATTAAGTCACTTTTTGGCCAAAGCCAAATGTGAAACTGGCAGGAACTGGGGTACTGCAGTAAGGGGCAAGGCCAAATACTGAAATGGAATTGTGGAAAAAATTAAGCAAATATACATGCTCAAGTTCTTCAGGTGGAATGGGAGCACTGCAGAAAATTTTATTCAGTAGAGGAGAGAAAAAAATTTCAAATAAGAATTTACTTCAGATAAGCATTATTCAAACTGTACTGAACAATGAATGTTAAGAATTGGAAACAAAAAAAATTGTTCAGCAGAAGATGAAGAGAGAAGGAAAGAACAGACTGTAATAAAGGCAAGAAGAGGTAGTAGAGAGTCTTTATGAGACAATTCGCTGCCATTCCTGTTCACAGCATTTCCTATACATGAAATTCCCAGTGAGAGCTATGGTTTGTGGAAACATTCATCTGATTCACCAGATCCAAAGTGCTTGAAAAATATAGAGCAGAATTAGGCTGTAATTCATATTTGTAGTCAAGTTATGGATGGACTTCACCCCAGAACAGCCTGCTACAATGTGTTTTTCCTTCTTGTTTTCTGCTGCAACTCTGATATGTGCCTACAGAGGTATCTCCTTAAAACTGCTGTTCTGGTACCATTTCTCTGCATAAACTGAGCAGATTGAGAGTCTAGGAATAAATCTACATTTAGTAGGTACTTGTTTTAATTTGAATTTTTGCTAGTAAACTAGGAAGAAATATGCTAGATGTGGAAATATGCACCAGAGAGGAAAAATTTTTTTTTTTTTTTAAATCTCTTAACTGTTCTATTAAACACAAAGCTTTAAGCATGAATTTGTTGTATACCTTTTACTCTGTGTGTGTACCACCTGTGAACTGACACTGTTAAAAAAATACAGTTTTGTGACGTACAAGCTGCACTTTTAGAATTGAGTGTGTATTTAGTTGTAATTTCAAAAGCCAGCTATCAGGTAGTTCTGATTTATAGAGCTGTTACTTCACTGAAAGGAATTCTCTGGATGATGCCAGTTTATAAATGCTGCTTGAATTTTGTGGCTAAAAGAGCAGCAAAACTGAAACTGAAATCTGCTGCTGGAACAGATTTAACTACAGATTTTATTTCTTTCTTCTTCTATCTACAAATGAGCCATTAAGCAACTCAAAGCCCCTCTGAAGCAAAGCTTGAAATGACAAATGTGATCAGTTACTGGCAGGGTGTGTATTTACCAGAAGGGCTCTTTATTGTTTTTAATGGGAGTGGGTAAGGGGCTTGCTCCAGACAGCAGTCTTTAGTGCTGCTGTTCTGTCATACGTTCATTTGATGCTCCATCATGAGGGATACTCTTTTCCTAACACATTTACTGGGCTAAAGATATGAAATCTTGTTAATAAAAATGAAACTGTTGCAGTGATTGAGTTTGGCATAAGCCCACAATATAAGGAGATGTCAAAGATCATCTAGACATGCTGCCCTTTGTTCTTCCTTTCTGCAGAAGTACCCTCATACCTGTAGTGGTGTGCGTAAGGTCTCCCTGCCCAGAAAACTGCAGTTGTCTTAAAGGGAAGCAGCTGCTTCCGTTTGCTGTTTTGTCAAGAGTAAACCAACTAGCCTTAAAAGTAAGGAGAAGGTGAAGAATTGCCTTTCCCCTACATTTGTTAGCAATGTGCTGTGGCTTGGGTCCTTTAGCAGGAAAAGGAAGCAGAAAAAGCTTGAAAAGTTTCATTTGAAGGGATGAGAAAGGTAAGAAGTTATATGTGAAAGAACAGTTCGGATTGAGGAATGAACCTTAAATATGTAACACTGCACTTCTATAAATCAGATGGTGTACCTTGAAAATCCTGATGCAGATGTGTTGACTGCTATGCTCTGTATGATTTGATATATTTATGATCTGATAATGAATGTTATTCCAATCTGTTGTGTTTAAATAGACTAATTCACAATTATATTTCTAAACAAGTTTAATTCCTCTCAATCCAGTTACTGGAAATTGGTTTTATCTGAACTGAGAGAGGTCAGTTTGTTTTTCCTTTAAAAACTCTGAAAAAAAAATTGGCAAAATCACAATATTTGTCATTCACCAAGTGCCGTGGCCTGCTCACATCAAATCATTTTTTCTGGCAAGGATGATATTCCACAATGATACCATGTAACTGTATCTTTTCACAGTAAGCTTACCAAGTGTAGTGGTTTGAGCCAGGTTTTCCCCCTGAAGCTGAAAGTGGTAACCCCCAGGGGGTGGTGACCCTTGGGGCTTGACCAATCAGTGCTCCTGCAAAATATAAACATATCTCTGGAGACCGGAAAAAGAAGCAGTAGTACTTTGGTGAGAAGAAGAGGTGGCCATGTTGTAGAGGCCACGAGGAGAAGGGGCTCCGGCCCCTTGGGGGCCTCTGCCCCCCCAGCCCCGGTTGGGGGGCTGCAGGGACTCAGAACTGAACTAAATACCTGTGTCTGAGATGCCGAAAGAGTTTTCTCCACTGCGAGTGGGTGACGAAGCAACAGAGACAGCAGCGTCCGAAGAGCAGTGGCAAAGAGCCAACTGATAAGGACCAGAAGGAGGAACACAAGCCGGTATGCAGCTAAGGCAGACACAGAGGTGTCTGAGGAGAAGGAAAAGCAGCAGCAGGAAGAGAATCGAGACCACGGCACAGACAGAGTTCTGGGGGTAAGAACTGGCTCAAACCAAAACCCCCAAACTCACTAGAGACCCCTCTGAGAAAGAGGAGGGGGTGGTGGACTGAGTAGAGTCCTAAAGTGCAATATGCACTACAGAGAGGAGCTAAGAAGCTCCGGCCTCCTGAGAGCTCAGCCAGGATGGCCAAAGGAATGTGTGTGGAGGGGGTGACCTTGGGCTTTTTTTCCCCCCCCTCCTTGCTGCCAGGCTTCAGAGAAGCTGGCAGCCATCTTTGAGGCAGAGCATAAGAGCTCTGCACAGGGGCTTAATTTCCCCTGAGGATACCAGACCGTCACGAAGACCCCGGTGCTTCGTGATATGACCATGGTGTAGCGGCCGTGTCTGGGGTTACGCAGCCCATGGAAAGACCCCCTATTTGAAGACGGGGGCCGAGAGAGACTTGGAAACCTCCCTCGTGTGTGCTGGCAGAGAGCCAGCAACTATTTCTGGTGGAAGAGAAGAAGAGAGCCTGCTGCCTAGAGAGGAAGACCTGCTGCTCACAGACTGGAAGGGGTCTTTTCTTCTTCTTCTCTCCTGAACTTTTATTTAGAGGGAGAAGAGATTTGGCCCATTGTAAATATTATTGTCATGGTAGAGATAGATATAAAGTTAAGATTGTTTGTAATGTATTATAGTATTTATTCACGTGTATAGTCTTTGTAATATATTCCTTCCCCCCATATTGAGTCTCGTGTTTTTGTCTGGAAAACCCATCTCACATGGGGTTGAGATGTGGGTGGGAGGCTAAGAATCAGAATTGAATTTTGGGCCTTGCTAAAACCATGACACCAAGGCATTGTAAAAATAGCAGTAGTTTTCAAAGCTCATTTAGCTCTTCTGTAAGCCCTGGAAAAATGTGAACATCTTTGGCCTACTTTTCAGTCTGGGTGAAGAGGGAGCTGATCTGATGTGATGGAGCAGGGAATCCTGAATTCCTTTCTTAGTGGCTATGGCCAAGG